TCTAAAGTCTATCCAAAACCAAAGTATGTCATTCAATTATTCACTGAGGTGACTTACAAAACACAATCCAGTTAGTCACTCAACTTATTCAGTTGATATGACTTAACTACAACTAACCAATCCCGTAAGTCATTCAACTTAGTCAGTTGATCTGACTCAAACACAATTTAGGATCCAATATTTTATAATCCATTCCTTTAATCCAGTAGGTTAGGTCTTAGCGTTTTGAGCTAAACCGTCCCTAGTATGCCACCGTCTCATAAAATCCTCCATATCCATGTAAATTACAATCCTCCATATCCATGTAAATTACAACACATAGATAATAGTTTAGCAATTTACAATCCAAAACCATTATCCAAATATTTGCAGAAGAATGTCTAATATTTCAGCAATTAAAATCTAGATGGCAATCCATGTAATTATAGAAAAGAATTTAATATTTCAACAATTAACATCCAGAGCATGCATAGATCAAAACCAACAAATAGATGACCCCATCATGCACTTAAAATAAGTTTTATAATCATACTATATCCCATTAAATTGTTAAAATTTAGTTAAGTAATCAATTTGCCTTCCATCCATTAATAGCATAAAAAGTTGTATACTTTTCTACTGTTCCATCCATTAGCCTATGGGTATAATTTATGCCATATGAGATTTTAGTAATTCATGAAATTATATTTAAAACCCTTTGTACACTTCCAAAATTATTTCAGAATACCAAACTAGTCCCAAACAGTGCCCAAAAGTTCAGATTTTACGAAAATAAGGGAGCCTGCTTTTAAGCTTGTAGAGTAGGCTCCAAAAATTGGTGGAGCAGGCTCCTATATTTATTGGAGCCACCTCTAGATGGGTAGAGCTGGCTCTACACTTGGGGGGAGCCGGCTCCTTCCTCTATGGAGCCGGCTCTCTCCCTCTCTGAGAGCCGTCTGCTACTTTCGACTATCGTCTTCGACTCCGGCCACTTCCAGCCTTTTTGTTTGATTTTGAAACTGTTCCTAAGAGTCTTATTAATACCCAGAAGCATCCCAATGGTGTGTTTACAATAGTTGGAATCAATTACAAAGATTAAAATTTCTACAGACTTAACATGCTTTAAGAAACAAAACTGAAACTAGACATGCACGAACTGTAACAGAATAGATTTCAACACATACAAATCATCAATATAGCATATAATATACATGTAAATATCAGTTAATGATCAATTAAACCCTAGAGACTATCTAGGTGCACAGAACACGAGCCAACGAGAAAGGGGAAGAAAAAAACTTGCCTGTGATTTCAGTTATGAAATCCCAGCGTCATGTCCACTTTTCCAACAACACTGCAATACTGTCTAGCCTCCTATTACTTCTGCTTCTCCTTTCTCCTAGGTCTGACCTTTAAGTCGCAGTCGAAACCCTCACCAAACGTACTCTGTTTGCTCAAAACCCCTCTCTGTTTCTCTCTGTAACTTTGATACGTGAACAGAGGTTGTGTATACTAAAACCCTAAGTCGACATATTGTTCTATATATAGAGAGACTTAAATAAAACCCTATTCCCTGTATGATTAGAGACAGAGCCCTAATGTCGATCTTAGTCGGCCCATAGAGCAACCTAAGATAATCCATGTCGACTACACATACTAACTTCCTAGAGGACCCTAGTTAATTAACGTAATTTAAAAAAAAAAAAACTCATTTAACTTATTTACATTAAAATTAATAATTACTAAATTAATCCAATTAAAGAACATACAAAAGACAATTAAAAAAAAACAATTCAATTATTGAAAACAAGAAATCCATTAATGCAATTTAAACACATGAATAAACAATTAAACCAATTAAATGCAATTTAAACACATAACACATAATTAAACAATTAAATCAAATAACAAATTAAAAATAATTAAACAATTAACAAATAAGCCAAATAATCACACAAAATACAATAAAACAATAATTAAAATACCGAGACTATCATTTTAAAATAAGGGATATTACAGGGGGTAGGTACATATATATATGGGTATATATGTATATTTATGGGGATTATATTTATTAATATTTTAAATGATTAATATTAATAATTATAGTTGGTTGTATATAAATATATATATATAGTTATAAGTTAATTGTATATATATTTATGCGTACAGACTTATATGTAGTTGTTCTTTTATTTTTATTTTTCTTTCTTTTCCCTTAAGTTAGCAGACTTAGGGTGCAATTAGGATTAGAATTAGGTTTTTATAAGCATATATATATGCCTGTTATATGTCTGCCAAGGGTTTAGAAACCCTATTCACGTAAACATAGAGGCAGAGAGATATACAAAGAGGTTTGAGAGAAAGGTTAGGGTTTTAGCCAGAGATTGAAGGTCGGACCAAGGAGAAAGGAAGAGGGTTTGCTTGTGGGTTAAACTAGGAGCAGCAGAGGAGTTTAACGGCAGTTAAGGAGTCGTCAGAATAATTAGAGAAGATGGTTTAAGGTTTCAAAATTGAAACCTAAGGCAAGTTCTTTCTCTTACTCCTTTCCTTAGACTTGTGTTCTGTACATGCCTAAATAATCTCCAGGATTTAATCAGACATTAATTGGACTTGTTTGAATGTTAACTCAGAGTTTAAACTTTATTTTGTGTTTTTATTTGAAATTGATTTATCATATAAATTGTTTCATCAAAAGTGTTTTAATTGTAGTTAATAATGCCTATTATGTTTATATGAATTTCTGGGTTAATTTGGGGCACGAATTAGACCCTAGGAACCTTAACAAAGCATTACAAAGGGTTTTTCAAAACGTCGGAGATGAAGAAGATGATAGGGAGCAGGGGTAGAGCCGGCTCTCAAAGGGATAAAGCCGGCTTCCTTCATTTTTTACCACACGGCTCTCTAGGAGATAGAGAGCTAGCTCTCCATGAGGAAGAGCCAGCTCCACAAAGGGGAGAGCTGGCTCCCTTCTTAGGGAAGGCGGCACCTTTGCTGAAATACACCAGTAGGTGTAATTTTTGTATTTTTTTGACTTTAGGGGGCTAAAGTTTAATTTTGGACTTTAAGGGGGGGTTTTAAATGATTTATATAAGCATGTTAAAATCCCAGAAATGTATTATTCTATGTTATTATGCTAAAATATTAGACAACATGAAATTTAAATACTGATTTGCATGCTGTCAAGAAGTATGAAAGATTTAATTGCTTGTTATTATTCTAGCAAATTAAATGGATTAATGTGAAATTTCGTTTGACTATTTCAATATAATGTGCTCAATTATTTATCTGATTTTCATTATATCATGTTCTGGATTTTAATTGACGAACTACTTTATTTTTGGTTCTGTCAATTATTGGATTTTGTGGATTATATGCATCGGTATGGGACGGTGGCATATTAGGGATGGATTAGTTCAAAACGCTAAGTCCTACCTATTTTTTTATACGGGAATGGATTAACTATCAAAGTTAAGTCATACTTATACTTGTGTCAGGTCAATGAACAGTTGAATGACATACCTTGGTTTTGGATGGATTTATATATACATGATTATGGTGCCATGATATGAACTTGAGTCTCAGGATCATGGTTAGGGTGCGTATATCACCTATGATGGATAACTGGATATAGTAGACATCTGATTGCCCTGGTAAGTCTAAGTACGCATGCCCACTTTATGTGTGATTTGCATGTTGCCTTCTATTCAGGTTGAGACAGACCTATAGTCCAGTGAGCGTCCTATAATGTGTGTGTGTGTGTGTGTGTGTGTGGACTATGTAGTTATTGTTGAGTTGTCTAGGATGTATCTGCATATCAGGTCTTTATTTGGATTGTAGTAGAATAGAACTTGTTCGTGGGCCTAACCCACTACTATTTTTTCAGGTGTTCGACAGTTCCAGGCTTAGAGCTTGTTCATGCCGAGCAGAGACAGTCACTTGCTCTTCCGACTACGTAGGACTTTGCTTCATGTTTTAGTTTTGGTTTTCTTTTCAATTCAGTTATTTTATTTACAGTTGGGATATTATTAGGGGTCCACTAGATGGATTCCCGAGTTATAATAATATTGGAGGTTTTGGATTATTGGATTATTTTATTAGTATTTCAAGGATTTATTATTTAGATTTCTTTTAGCTTATTTATTCTTTATTCTTTAAATTCTTCTTGTATTCTATGCTTATTTATATACATAATTGTTTGGTATCTCTCGGATCTATACTCGGACTTGATCGTCCGTGGCTCTAGAATTGAGGGGTATCACAGTTGGTATCAGAGCGAGCCAGGTTCAAATGTTTCTAGGGTTATTTTGTATTAAGACTTCCGCGTAGCGTATTATCTTGTTTAGAGCTTAAGTTTAGGATTCGTTGTATTCCTTTACGGTTTGGTTTAAAATCGTACTGATGTCTGTCTTTCTATATTAACAGAATTGCTAACGTTAGAACCATACGGAACAATCAGAGAAACAGGTAGCGAAAGGAAGTGGCATGTAGGCAGCAAGATCTCCTATAGCGTCAGCAAATGGAAGAAGAGTAGCAATTGTCTGGGTTTCACGAAAATAGTGGTCAATTGCATGTGGAAAGGAGGGAGTTCAGCAGACTCAGGATCAGGAAAAGGATCCAGAGTATCCTCCTCATCTCAATCACCTCATTGCTCGGGCTATAGAAGTAGGAGTAACAGCTACACTTTAGAATTAGCCATAGGTATAGCCGTTAACTATACCAGCATCAGTGGTTCAGACTGATCCTTAGGAAAAAGGCTAGGAGTTTTTTCACAAAGGGACACCCACCTGAGTTCTCAGGCTCCACCGATGTGAAAGTAGCTCACCAGTGGAAAAAGGACATCGAACGACATCTTCGTGTGGTTCAGTGCACAAAGGTTCAGAAGTAGATGCTTGCTACCTTCAATCTAATCGGAGATGCACTATAGTGGTGGGAGTCAGTTGCCACCACAAAGGAAAGGACTTCATTGACCTATGATCAGTTCAGTGTTTGCTTCAATGAGAAGTACTTTCCATATGCAGTCAGGACAACTATGAAGACCATAGTTGTCAAAGGCGCCGGAGGTGTGCGCCTGAGGCGCCATCTCAGTGCCTCTAGCACCTCAAGGCGCATGGGTTGTAGAAGGCGAGCACCTTTTATGTACAGGCGCAAGGCTAAAGGCGATCTAAAAGCGCGCCTGATGGAAGTTGTAATATTTTAACTGTTTTCTTCTCTTGGTTTTGTAACTTTTGTTTGTTTATTGACTTTATTGATTCTGTTATATTATTTTATTGTTTCTATTATATTACTTTTGTTAAGTTACATTGTTTCCACATTAAAAAAAAAAAAAAAAAAAAAAAAAAAAAAAAAAAGGAGAACAAACACCAAAACAAAGAAGAGTCGAAGACAGAGGTCACAGAGGCGACGACTTGGACAACAGTTACTCTTGGTCTCGGTCCTCACTCCTCTCGGATCTGCGTCGGATCGGATCTGCGTCGGATCTGCCGGATCTATGCCGATGGTGACTCTGCCGGTAAGTTCTCCAACTTCTCATTCTCTCTCTTCTCCTTCTCTCCTCCTCCTTCTCTTCTTCTTCTCTCCTCCTTCTCTTCTCGGATCTGTGATCTGTCTCAGTTTTTTTTTTTTTTTCTCTTTTCTTTTCTTCTTTTCTTCTCTCGGCCGACTGCCGAGTCGAGTTTGGCAGTTTTTTTATTTTATTTTTTTTCTTGAGTCTGGACTCTGTTCAAAGAAACTTTTTGCTTTTTGATGCTCTCCTCATTTTTATAGATTAATTCATATATTAAGTTTTCTTCTCGGATCTGTGATCACATGTTTTTTTTTTTTTTGTGAAAAGAAATTGTTATATACGGATGGAATTGATGAAGGGGCCGGGGAGAGGAGAGTGGAGACTCTGGACTGTGACAAATTTATTATGTTGCTATTTTAATCTTAAAATAACAATTGCTAAACTTGCTATTTTATTTTTTATTTTTTTTGGATTGTTGTAGCCTGTATGTGACAGATAGAATATAATTCTTTTTCTTAGTCACCCAAAAAAAAAAAATTTATTGAAATCAAAAGGTATTTAATTGATTTTCTTGTAAAATTTGCAGAGGAATACAAAGCTTCTAATATATACAGAATTTACATAACACCAAAATACCAAATACAGAGAGATAAACTGATAGAGAGAAGAAGTTGTCCAGTTAACAACTTAACACCAAATTGAAGTCAAATTTATTAACATCAAACTTAAGTTACTTAACACTGAAATACTGAATCCATAAAAATTAGCTCCAAACTGATCTATCAGCTATCTCCACGTAGAGAGTGACTGTGAGTCTGTGACGGATCTATTTCCCAATTTGAGCCAACACATTCTGCAGTTACTTTGCTTAATCACAATTGCAGCCAAATTGTATGCATGCATTTGTTCCATTGAATCATTCTAACATGTTAAAATGAAATAATTAGTGAAGTGTACTCTAAAGTCTAAATTATAAAAGACAATCGCAAATTGTAAATAGCAACTGTTTACTGTTATATTATTTTCATATAATTAGGTTGTATTATTGAAAGTATGTTTAGTTGTTATAGTTATAGGATGAATCATGGTGCTTATAGTTATAGAAAATTAGATTGATTTGCAGCTTACATAATTTCTATTGAATTTGATTGTAGTTTGAACTTTAAAAGATGCCTAGTGAAGGTTCAAGAAATGATCCGGCATGGAATTACTCACATTTGGAGAATCCGAAAGATACAAATGCCGTCACTTGTAACTTCTGTGCAAAAGTTACAAAAGGAGATATTTATCGGGCTAAGCAACACTTAGCTGGAGGATATAGAAATATGAGTGCCTGCACAAGATGCCCATGTAGTGTTAGAGAAGAAATCAAAGAGTACATAAGTAAGAAAAAGGAAGAAAAAGAACAAATGAATTTGTTACCTAGTGATGAGATTAATTTCATTGATGGAGAGGATGAGGATGATGTCATGGAAGTTAGCAATCGGGGAAAAAGGGTAGCTAATGAAGGTAATGCTAGTGTCAATTCCTCAAAGATGCAAAAGCAAAAGGGACCGATTGATTTATATTTCACTCCCAGACCAAAAGTTGTGATACAAAAAAGAAAGGAAGGGGGAAAACAGACAACCATTAATGATGCATGCAAGAAAGAGTTGAGAGGAAGAGCATGTGCTGCTTTTGCAAGATGGATGTATGATGCAGGAATTGCATTCAATGATGTTAAGTATGATAGCTTTGCCGAGGTTGTTGAAACAATTGGACAATATGGTCCTGGCATAAAACCACCTAGTTATCATGAGGTGAGAGTTCCTTTGCTTAGGAAGGAATTGGATAATACCAATGCTTTGATGAATGACCATAGAGAGGAGTGGTCAAAATTCGGATCCTCATTAATGGCAGATGGGTGGACAGACAAGAGAGGGAGAACATTGTTTAATTTCCTAGTAAATAGTCTAAGGGGAACCATGTTTATTGAATCGATAGATACTTCTTCTTTTTCAAAGGATGGTGCAAAGATGTTTTACTAACTTAATAAATTTGTGAACCGCATTGGAGTAGCAAATGTCGTCCAAGTCGTCACAGATAGTGAATCAAACAATAAGTTTGCCGATAAGAATGTTCAATGTTTATAACTTTTAGAGTATGTAAATTCTTTACAAATATATAATTTAAATCTTTTTTGATTTACTCATTCTCTTTATATCATTTTTTCTTTTTTCCGTTTGGTTTCAAATAGGGAGGATGTTAGAGAAAGAACACCCATATTTGTATTGGACACCATGTGCTGCTCATTGCTTAGACTTGATGTTGGAAGACATTAGAAAAATACCGTCCATCTCTAGAACAATGCAGAGGGCAGTGCAGTTGAATAGTTATATTTATATGCGTCCAAAGTTGTTGAACATTATAAGGAACTTTACTCATAAAAAGGAGTTTCTTAGGCCCGCTAAGACTCGATTTGCTACATGTTTCATCACATTATCAAGTATTCATAAGCAAAAGAATAACTTAAGAAAGATGTTTACTTCAGAAGAATGGAATTGTAGTAAATGGGCGAAAGAGGAAGCCGGTAAAAGAGTTACTTCTTATGTTTTGATGCCTTCCTTTTGGAACAACATTGTCTTTAGCCTTAAGGTTTCCGGTCCTCTTATTCCGGTTTTGAGATTAGTTGATGGCGAGAAAAAGCCTCCCATGGGATACATTTATGCGGCTATGGATAGGGCTAAAAAAGCCATTGCAAAATCATTTGGGGAAGTAAAAGACAAATACAAGGATATTTTTGAAATAATTGATAAGAGGTGGAATGTTCAACTTCATCGCCCTTTGCATGCAGTAGGTTATTATTTGAACCCAGAATACTTTTATTCAAATCCGAAAATTGAAGAAGATGAAGAGATTGCAAAGGGTTTATATGCATGCATTGCAAGGTTAATCCCAGATATCAAAGACCAAGACAAAATTACTGAGGAGCTGTCCTTATATTCTAAAACTGGGGGCCTCTTTAGTAATCCCTTTGCTATTAGATAGAGAAATACATGAGGACCAGGTAAAGTGGTAACGTATATTAAGTTAGTATAGCTAAGTGTTAAAATTATTTTGATAATAGAGTCGATAGAAAGATGAAGCTAAAGTTGCTAAACATCATTATTAATTTTTTTTAATAGCTAATTGGTAGGAAGCTTATGGCAAGTCAACAAAACTTCTCCAAAACTTTGCTATAAAGGTTTTAAGCCTTACTTGCAGTTCTTCTGGTTGTGAACAAAATTGGAGCGTGTTTGAGCATGTAAGTATATACTATCTACTAACTAGGTTTGTAATTTAATTGTTGAAAGTTAAAATTTTAATTTTTTATACTTACTAGTTAAAGTTGAATTTATTGCAGCTTCATAACAAGAAAAGAAATAGGCTCGCTCAAACAACTTTGAATGAAGTAGTGTTCATCAAATATAATAGAGCATTGAGGCGTCGATATAATATGCGTGACACTCTTGATCCCATTTTACTCGATGACATTGATGAAAGCAACGAGTGGTTGACGGGGAGGATGGATGATTCTGATGCAGAACATGATCTAGTTTATGAAGATGATTCCTTGACATGGGGTGATGTTGCTAATTTTACTGGTATTGGAGAGGCTAGCAAGCCGCAACGGTTTACTAGATCAAAATCTAGTTCTAGTTCACGGTTACCAACAAAGGGAGCAGGAAGTTCTTCAGTTCGACTTGTGGATGAGGATGAGGATGATTCAGATGAGATAGAAGAGGATCCCGAGAATCATGAATTATTTAGTGACAATCAAAATGATGTTATGCTTATTGATGACGAGGATGATATTTAGATTCATTGGTGTTGTCTTCTTAGGAAGAAATGATGTTTATATTTGTTTTAGTTTTATCTTATACTTCTCCTTAGTTGACTTTTGCATCTTTATGTTAATATGTGTGATTATTCACTGTTTTGAACTCAAGTACTTGATTTACTTGGTTTTAGCATCTTTATGTTGAATATTTAACTTAAGTAATTCATTTAGTTGACTTTTACATCTTTATATATACTATTGCATCTTTAATACTTTATTAGGTGGGTTTTGTGTTTTTTTTTTTTCCAATGTGCACCTTGCTTCAGTCAGGCGCGCGCCTCGCCTTGTGCCTTAGGCTCCAGGAGGCATTTGTGCTTTTGTGCGCCTTGAGCCTTTAACAACTATGATGAAGATAGAGTTGCTTAATCTGGATCAAAAGAACATGACAATGGCAGAGTATGAACAGCAGTTCATGCGCTTATCTCTTTTTGCACCTGAGGAGGTGGATACAGTGGAAAAGAAACGTAATAGCTTTGTTAAGGGACTTATGTGGTCTATTAAATGAGCTATTATAGGTTATCCAGCGTACACTACTTATGCTCAAGTGGTGGACTCCACTCTACAACAGTATCAGTTGACTGTGGACTTCAGATAGGTTATGGGTGAGAAGCGAGGTGACATAGACTCTGCTAATCAGTCAGTTGAGAAAGGGAATGGCAATGGACACCGATATAATGATAAGGGCAAATTCTAGGGACATAAGTCTTGGAAGAAACACAAGGGTGGTTCAGATGCTCACAGAGATGGGGCACCTATTCAGAGGCAGCAGAATGGGGGACCACAAGTAAGACGAGATCAGCCACAGGCTAACCAGCAGAAGAGGCCATTTGGTACTTTCAAGGGAACTTGCTATACTTGTGGAGAGCTTGGACACACTTCCAAGCAGTGTCCACTAGCAGGACAGGGACAGGGACAACATGTGCAACAGGGACAGAGGGCACCATTACTTTACCCGCTCCACAGATTCCACGGATTCAGGGATAAACATATCCGGCATTACCAACACTGCCACAGCCTTAGGGATAGGCATCGCAGTAGTTGCATTATGGCAGGGTGTACAACCCCCATGCCATAGGGTGTTCAGGCACCTCAGGCTGTTGAGGGTATGTTTCTTATTCATGGTATATAGGGTCGTGTTTTATCCGATACGGATGCTACACACTCATTTGTATATAAATCTTTTGTTGCATTATCTGGGATGACGACGCGAGTGTGCGATAAACCTCATGGTATTTCTACACCTTTAGGTGATATTGCCATTTTACATGAGAGTGATGGGCCTGTGACACTAGATATTGGTAGACTCATATTTCTAGCCAATTTATTGGTTCTGGACATGCACACTTATGATGGGATACTTGGGATGGATTGGTTATCTCACTACCATGCCCAAGTTAATTGTTATGATAGGTCTATTGTATTTATCATACCTGGACTGGATATGTATGTTTTTAATATGCCACGTTTTAACAGGATTACTAGCACTTATTTATTCTATGTGGAGGAGGAGACTGAGGAGGAGATTACTGTGTCACTGGATAGCATACCAATTGTACATGAATTTTTGGATGTTTTTCAAGAGATTCCAGGGTTGCCACCTAGTCGAGAGATAGACTTTGTGATTGACTTAGGTCCAGGTACTACGCCTATTGCTAGAGCACCATACAGGATGGCACCAGTGGAGATGCGAGAGTTGAGGGATCAGATTCAGCAATTGCTCAATCAGGGTTTTATTCGCAGGATTACTTCACCTTGGGGGGCACCAGTTTTGTTTGTGAAAAAGAAGAATGGTTCACTTTGTCAGTGTATAGATTAAAGGGAGTTAAACAAGGTTACTATTCATAATAAGCACCATTTGCCCAGGATTGTTGATCTTTTTGATCAGTTTAAGGGAGCTACATACTTCTCTAAAATTTATCTACGTTCAAGATATCATCGACTTCGAGTTAGGGAGCAAGATGTTCCTAGGATAGCGTTTCTCACTAGATATGGTTCTTATGAGTTTCGTGTCATGCCTTTCGAATTGACTAACGCACCAGCAGTCTTTATAGATTTAATAAACAGAGTTTTCAGGGCTTATTTAAATCAGTTTGTTACTATCTTCATTGATGATATCTTGATCTATTCTAAATCGGAGGATAATCATGCAAGACATCTTCGCACAGTGTTGCAGACGCTTCGTGAGTACCAGTTATATGCTAAGTTTGAGAAATGTGAATTTTGGTAGCGGGAAGTGAAGTTTCTGGGTTACGTTGTGTCAAAAAGGGGAATAGTGGTAGATCCAGCTAAGGTTTCAGCAGTGGTAGAGTGGGGACAGCCTACTTCACCTACTAAGATTCGGAGTTTCCTCTGATTGGCAGGATATTATCGTAGGTTCATTCAGGGGTTCTCAAAGATAGCGGGACCACTCACTCATTTAACTAAGAATGGTGTATGGTTCGTATGGGATGAACACTATCAGAAAGCTTTTGATGAGCTAAAGAACAAGTTGACTTCTGCACCGGTTCTGTCTACTCCATAGAGTGGAATAGAATATATGGTTTACACAGATGTTTCTTTACAAGGTCTTAGATGTGTTTTAATACAGGAGGAATGACTAATTTCGTATGGATCTCGTAAATTTAAGCCTCATGAGCTTAATTATCCAATACATGATTTAGAGTTGGCAGTTGTGGTTTTTGCCTTACGCATTTGGAGGCATTATTTGTTGGGAGAGTCTTTCAAATTATTTAGTGATCACAGGAGTCTACAGTATTTGTTCACTCAGCGGGAGCTGAATATGAAACAGCACAGATTGTTAAAGTTTGTGAAAAACTATCATTTCTCTATACAATATCATCCAGGGAAAGCGAATGTGGTGGCAGATGCACTCAGTCACTGACCCTATGCGAGTCTTTCTACTTTATTCACCACTGAGTGGAATGCTTTGATGACCGTTGACGAGTTGTCTGATGCTTTTATGGCTTACATACACCTTCTATCATTCACAAGGTTCTAAAGGCACGGCTCACGGATCAGTAGTGCACTGACAAAGTTGCAGAGATAGCTTCTGGGGAGGTTCTATTTGACTATGTTGGGACTGATGGAGGTTTGTGGTACAAGGGGCATTTAGTAGTACCTTCTGCTGACGATTTGAGAAAGGATGTGATGACTGAGACTCATCATTCTGAGTTTTTTGTTCATCTAGGAGGAGACAAAATGTATCAAGATATGAAGCAGCAGTTTTGGTGGGCAGGTATGAAGAAGGACAATGTTATTTTTGTCCCCCGGTGTGGTACTTGTCAGATGGTCAAGATTGATCATCAGAGGCTGCCAGGATCTCTACAACCACAACCAATAACAGAGTGGAAGTGGGAGAGCATTTCTATGGATTTTGTGGAAAGATTGCCTAATTCATTCAAGGATCACAATTCCATCTGAGTCATCATTGATAGATTGACTAAATCAGCTCATTTATTGCCTATTCGCACTGATTTCACATCGGAGCAGTTGGCGAGACTTTACATTACAGAAGTTGTTAAGTTACATGGCATTCCGTTATCTATTATATCGGACAGGAATTCGAGTTTTGTGTCAGGATTTTGGAAGAGTTTTTAGCAGGTTTTGGATACAAAGTCGCATATTAGCACTGCTTATCATCCTCAGACTGATGGACAGACCGAGAGAATTATTTGCCACTAGTGGAGTTCGTGTATAATAATAGCTTCCAGAAGACTATTGGTATGACACCGTTTGAGGCATTATACGGCCGACCATGTCGATCTCCTGTATGTTGGATAGAGGTTGGGGAGAGTAGATTTTTGGGTCCTAAATTCAATAAGGATACTTCTGAAAAGATTGTTCTTATTAGGGATCGCATGCGCACCGCCCAGAGTTGGCAGAAGAGTTATGCCGATCGTCGTACTCGTTCATTGGAGTTTCAGGTTGGGGATCAGGTTCTACTCAAAGTGTCTCCTATGAAACGAGTAATGCGTTTTGGGAAAAAAGGGAAGTTGTCACCGTGGTTTGTCGGTCCATTTATGATTACAGATTGAGTTGAAGCTATGGCTTATCGGTTAGCACTTCCGAACCATTTGGATCATGTGCACAATGTGTTTCATGTTTCCATGTTACGGAAATTTCTGCGAGATGAGGACGTTATCAGTATATCGATGTTGGTAAGATTGAG